TTCCATGAATCGTGCCATGCTTCATGAATCACGCATCCTTGGAAGCCAACACCAGTCTCAGTAAGCGATGGTAACGTCTGCCTTCCGTAGGAGTTTATCAGTTCAAGTGCACCAGCGAATGGTGGCACACAAGCAGGCACATCAGGTATTTGACGTGTTGGCCGCAAATGCGCGATTGAGAACTACGGGTTTCGACGATTACGTTACACATGCAGCCAAGGTTGTTGACTCAGAAGGTCTTCGGGGCCGACAGCTGTCAAGCAGCAAACACGAACAAGAGCGCCGCGAAACGTCGCCAGGGACGTGCACAGCGGATAGTATAGTTGCGGCAATGTCGAGTCATGTTGCTCCCATCAGTTCGTAGGGAAACTTACCGCGTAAATTGCTGGATCTTCGACAGCGCCGCCGCTCTTACGAGCGACCTGACTCTTGGCAGTACGGCGTTCAGCGTGATGATGGTCGACACGGTCCATCGTCCTATCGCCGTCAATCCGTTCTCGCAGGAGGCGGTCTAGACGCTAGACGTCTTTCTAATTCTGTGTGCTCGTGAGCATTCCGTCGGGTCTGGCTCGATGAAGTCGCGGCGAAGCGGCCACCAGCCTGCGACCCCGTCCATGAAGGCGTCCTTGCATCCTTCGTCATGCCGAAGGCGAAGCGAAAACGCAGTTTCATCGTCTGGAGGGTCGCCAGTCGGTCGACCGCCGGGCCGATCTTCGTCGATGCCGTCGCTGTTGTTCTGCGATTCCGCCTTTCCATCGTCGTCCGGAATCGATGGTCGTATATGTGTTTGCTCTTGCGGCGCGTGTTGTAGGAGCAGTCCCGCCTTCGGCGCGTGATGCAGCAGCAGTCCCGGCCTCGCCCGTGGGATCTATGGGCCGCGCCCACGGCGGTAAGCTGCGCTCCTCTGGGCGGGCTCGGTCTTCGCACGAGCAGTGCCAGTTCCTTCGCCTTCTGGCGAGCTCTCCCTTGCGGTCTCATCATCCTTGATTGGGCGCCTGGAGTCCAGCAGGCACGTGTGTGTCAGATTATTCTTGCCGGTGCCGCAAGGTTTCGCCGCGTCGTCGGGCCGATCGCCTAATCGAGACGAGCACCCTTGTCCAGCGAAGCAGTGTCCCAGGTGGCATCGGTCCTTTGGCCTGACCCCGCCACACAATTCCAATTGCTGGGACGTGCTCTGGCCGTGAATCGTCTGCACAGTCCCCTTACGGACAGCGCCTGTCCACCTCGGTGCCCCTGCTGCTCAAGGAGAAGTCAACAATACAATGGCAATCACTTGGTTGCAAATCGCAGATGGCAATCGGCCAGTGAGGGTCGTGGACCTTCCATGTGACTTTCGTCCGTTTCAGGGACCCCTGTAGATCTGATGCCACACCTCGTGCGCGCAAGTTGAAATTGAAGTTCCTGACGCTTCACACATCGCCACCAGCCCAGGCGTGGGAGCATTACAGTCGGGGCCCTGAAGAAGGAACCCTTTTCGTTGGGGAGGGGCTCCGCGTTCCTTAAGTGTTTCACAGCTTGCCTCATGCTTTCCTTATGTTGTCGACAGGAAATCGAAGGTTAACTTATGGAAAAAAGGGGCCTCGTTTCTTATTTAGGGTTCCTTAGGTCAACGCCCCGACGGTACAGTGGAAAAGCGGGGGGGGGGGCAGGGCGGCAGCCGTCAAACAGAAGGTCGGGACCAGAGCGAGCAAGCCCAGGAGTCGACCAGAAAATCCGTCGCGGATCGTTCGACGTGAGCGGTTTGTCGGGGCAGTTTGGAAGGCCTGTGTTTGGGGATCTCTTGGGGCCCTATTAGGGGTTCTCTTGCAGGTCCTCTTTGGGGCCCTGGGCGCCATCTTGGAGCGCACTGGCGATAAGAATGGTGTCCTTGATTAGTGACTCCCCGTCGTAGCCAGACAAGTCGCGTCTGTGGGCTCCACTGGGGGCTACTGTGGCCCCCTTTGGGCCTCTTTGGGCCATCTTGCTGGAGTCATCCTGAGCCATCAGGAGGCCATCGAAGGCGAAACTGCGAGAGTGTAAAACACATTGGGTCCCCTTAGGTTTTGGAAACAGCTGGGGCTCTCGGGGGGTCCTTGGGAAGCTCTGTGGTCAAATGGAGCCGTCTTGGAGCGTCCTTGAAGCATGCTGGAACCTACCTTGAACCATGTGGGGTTATCTTCAGCGATCTTGGAGGCAATCTTGGGCCATCTGGAGCCCTCTTGGGCCATCTTGGACGCTCCAACAGCCCGCGCCCCCCCCAACCAGACCTAGCGGAGGGGGCAGGGGGAGGGGTCAAGCTACCCGTCCGCCCGTAAGCAGTGTTGCTCACTCCCACCCGCCCTCCCAACGCATAAGCAACACGCGGGCGTCAGCACATCGCGTAAGAACGCCACAGAAGCCACGGTTTCCAGATGCACCAGACACCCTGGAGGCCCAAGCGCGCCAGGCGCGCCAGGTGCGGCGAGTGCTCCACGTGCGCCCAGTGTTCCACGTGCTCCAGCGCCAGGTGCGCCAGCCGCTGGGAACCAATCTGGGCTCCCATCGCGTGCGCCGCAGTTTTTTTTGCTGCAACAGCAACTGCGCACTCCCCAGCGCATGCTTGTGGCTGCTGGCCGCCGCGCGCGGCCCCCAACCATCCACGCACGAGAAACAAGCGTGCGAACAGGCGCGCGGCCTGACACGCCAACCAGCCGGTGTGCACCGAACTATCCTCGTCGAAACGCAATGCTCGGAGGTGGATCGACCTCCTACCCTGACACGTCGATTGAGGAGTTGGCCGTTTTCGGTTCGCGAGAGGGCGTCGCGGCCGTCATGTTTGCGTGTCCAGGTCCGTCGGTTTCGGTCCCAGGCCGTTCTCACTAAGGGGAGGTCTACTAAAGGGAGGTTTGTCCACCGCCGAAATGCAGAGTGCACGCCAGGGCGTTCACACTCCCGCCGTGCCAGCTGTAGGCTCAACTGCGACGGGGAAGCTCCGCGGCTCCGCGCGTCGCGCGCGGCCAGGCCCACAAGGGGGGGTAACGTTCAGCACCCCCCCTATCTGGGGCTAGCCTTTCTTCATAGGGGGCTACACGCGAACCCGACCCTCTCACTCAGAAATCGTGGGGGGTAGGGGTAGGGTTCGCATGTGGCCCTCTATCTTCAGGGGCCATCGGACAGCCTCTTGAGACCCTCTTGGGGCCACCTTGGGACGCTATTGGGGCTGTCTTGGAGGCCTCGTGGGCCTGGATTGGAGCTGTCTTGGGCCATTTGGGGGCCACCTGGCTCCCCCTCTGGGGCCCCCACAACCGTCTCTTGGGGCCCTCTTGGCGCAAACTTGGGGCGTTATTGGGGCCCGTTTGGAAGCCTCTTGGGTCCAGCTTGGAGCTTTCTTGGCCAATCTTGGAGCCAGTTGGAGGTTTCTGAAAGCCCCATCGGAATCGAAAAGGTGAGACGACAGCAGCCATTGATTTGTCAAAGCAGTCGGTCGACCACCTGCGCCCAGATGACGGTGGGAGTTGCTGACGCCCCGGATGTCCTTGTAGAATACCCGCACAAAGTGGTCGCAGGACGGCCGCGGATGTGTTGAGGGAAACCGTGGATAGAACGCGTCTAAGCAGGTTTAAGCCAGAGCCTGATACGCTACCCTTCCGCAACCTCTTTGGCACAAAAGCTATCATGGTGGCGGAGCTGGCCACGGCCAGCTCCCGCTGGGCGCTCCCCCCGCGGCCAGGGGCGCTGGCCATTGCTTTCGCGGCCATGGCCGCAGGGCGAGCGATCCACGGCAACCAGCTGACACAACAGCTGGACAAGGGCTATGTGACCAAGCAGCTGAACGAGGTGAGCGTGACCAAGTAGTTGGACAAGGTCTGCGTGACCACAGGAGCGCTGAACGAGGTTTACGTGACCATCGGAGCGTTGAGCGAGGTCTACGTGACCACCACAGGAGTTCAAGACGAGGTCTACGTGACCACAGAGCAGAAGGACGAGGTCTACATGACCACAGAGTTGAGAGACGAGGTCTACGTGACCACAGACGAGCATAAAGAGGTCGACGTGACCACAGACGAGGAGAACGAGGTCTACGTGACCACAGACAAGCAGGACGAGGTCTACGTGACCACAGACAAGCAGGACGGGGTCTACGTGATCACAGACGAGCAGGACGAGGTCTACGTGACCACAGACGTGCAGAACGAGGTCTACGTGACTATGACGGAGCCTGGTGTTGAGTGGCAGGGCTTCGGTCTGAAGCCGCCAACGTTCGACGGCCACGAGGAGCAGTGGGCGGAGTGGAGCTTCGCGATGAGGGCGTACCTGGGCGGCCAGACGGCGCAGGCGCTGAATCTCCGAGAGGCGACCGAGCAGCGAGGAGATCCAGACATTAGCATGGTGGAGAATTTGCATCGTTTGGGGGGCTGAAGGAGTTTCGGCACCGAAGAAGATGTTCTTCGCGCTGGTCATGACAGTGAAGGGCAGCGCGCAGATGCTGATCAAGCGCTACGAGCCTGCGACGGCCATGAGAGCGCAAAGCATCACGACGGCGATTCTCAATGCGAAGCTTTCCCCTTCGGATTTGGCGGGGTTCGAGCAGCGCCGCTCAAACTGGGAGCGCGACGCCAAGCGCCACGAGATAGCGCCAGGAGAGGCGTTCACTGCAGGAGTCAAGAAGAGCATCTACTTGCAGAAGGCCCCGAGTAACATCGGGACGGTAGTGCAGACGCAGAGCGAGACAAGCTACGACGAGCTGGGCAGCACCGCGATGCAGCACTTACAAGCGGCGACATTGCACGAGGACGGGCACCAGCAGAAGTGGCCAAGGCCACCAGGACCTGGAGCCGAAGCCAGCGCAGGAAACCGAACCTCAGGAGCCTCAGGAGCCATGGAGGTGGACGCGCTGACACGGCAGTGTCCCAGAGGCAGGGGCAAGGACGACAAAGGCAAAGGCAGAGATAACGAAGGCAAGAGCAGGAGTTAAGACCAGAAGGGCAAGGGCGCGGATCCCATGGCGAGGGCGGCAGCAACACGACAGCCAGCTTGGAATATGGCAGGAGTATTTGGGGCGAGGCTTTGTCACGCCCGTGGCCAGAGGGGGCGCTGCGCAAGGGATTGTTGGCACCGGCTGGAGAACCCCAACTGCGACCAGGGTAAGCAGCAGGTCAAGAAAGGACAGAAAGGAGGAGCGAACGAGATCACGATGTGCGACGGCTGGAGCAACGTCAGCGCACCACCACCAGGAAGTCCATCACCATCGACAGCAGGGCCTTCAGGCAGCCAAGTGGGAGCAGGAGTTCGAGCGATCACCACGATAGGCGAGCACGCGCCAGAGTGGGAAGGTGGCTTCATCTTCGTAGTTGCGAAGGGCGGGAAGCCAAAAGGTGCAGGAGAGAGGTCGACAGCATGACGGGAACGGGCATGCGGCGTTCGTTTTGGATGTTGACGGACAACTGCGCAGGTGAGCACGTGCGTGGCGTCAGGGACTTCCCGAACGTGGAGCTCGAATCAGGGCGCAACCCCAACGTGGCGGTCGCGAACGGCGCGCCACTGAGGCACTACGGATCAAATGCGGCGACGCTCCACATTGCCGGCGACAGACGCATCATCATGGAGTTCCAGGTCACTGACGCGAAGCAGCCCATCATGAGCGTGGCTTGGTACGACGGCAAAGGAGAACTGCTGAGGCACGAGGCGGCAGGACTGGTCAACCGTAAGAAGATCAATAACCACTACGCGCTGAAGCGCTGGACCAATATGCACGATGACATGAAGGAGGAGGTCCACAAAGAGATGGCGCTACTGGTGCCGATCGGGGCAGCAGGTGCGGCAGCGCGACCAGGTGAAGAGGACGAAGACGGATGCGCAGTTCAACGAACATTGGCAGGAGGACCACGAGTGCAACCACCAGGAGAGCGGCATCAACCACGGGTCGCATCGCGAGGAGCTGCAGACGCACTAGCGGATGCACCGACAGAGGGACCAGCGGCAGTCCCCGACGATCGCGAGACGGCGGGACCCGAGACGACAGCCAGTGGACTGCCCGGACCTCGAGAGCCAAGCGCGGAGGATATCGAGAGGCACGAGCTGTCCCATTACCCAGCTGAACCATGGTGCGAGATCTGCATTCAGGCGAAGGCCAACGACATAGCCTACAAGAAGAAGGACAGGCGCGACGAGCTGATCCCACTGCTGAGCTTCGACTACGGCCAGGCGGGCATCGAGGGGGGGGCCGTCAACTTCGAGTTCGCAGTGGGCAGCGACGCTTCGACGGGAGGCATCTGGAGCACGGCCATCATCCAGAAAGGTCGAGACGACGTCTGCACCGCGGCCGCGGCAATTTCGTGGCTCGCCGAACTGGGGCGCTCACGAGTGGAACTACAAGCAGGAGGAGCAGCCGAGTTCTCGTTCATCATGGCAGTCAGGGCCAGGGCGATCAAAGAAGGCATCTGCGAGACGATCCTCGTGAGGCAGTCGGAGAGGTACAGCGCCCAGGCGAACGGCAGGGCCGAGAGAGCCATCCAGACGGTGAGGATGCAGGTGAGGACGTTGATGGTGCAGGTCAACAAGAAGCTGAACCACGACCTCAAGCCCGACTCCCCGTTCCTCGCGTGGTTGCCGAGGCATGCGGCGTGGCCATGCAACAGATGCATGGTCAGGGAGGACGTCAACCTCGCTCCCTACGAGAAGGCCCACATGCTCAAGCGGAAGCCCATCGCCGCAGTCGGCGAGGCAGTGATCTGCAGGAGGCCAGGAGCCCAGGTCAACAAGCTGGAGTTGTCGTGGATGGAGGGCATCTGGCTAGGACGCGACGCGGGGGCGGACGAACATCTGATCGAAACGCCGACGGGGGCGCGCAGGTCCAGAGCGGCGAAGAGGAAGGTGAAGAGCCGGCGCTGGGACAAGGAGCAGTTCGACAAGGTGAGGTGAACACCTTGGGGACCGACGCCAACCGCGAGGGGGGGGGGCGCCAGCGCAGAGGTCATCACTACAGGAACCGATTCTACTCGGGCCATCACCGAAGTACTTGGATCCGAGGGCGGCAGCCGCAGCCGCAGCAGGGGCGGCAACAGCAGAAGGAGGGCCACAGCCAGCGCCACCACAGCCAGCAGCAGCAGCGGCGGCAGCACCGCACGACGACGTGGACATGGGCAAGAGGCGACTGGGGGCGAAGAGGCCCAGGGGCGAGGAGGTAGGGCCGTCAACGCCGAGGGCGGCACAGCGGGCATTCCGCTAGCGGAGAGGAGCCCCAAGCGAGATCGCGAAGGCGGATAAGGAAGCGGAGGCAAGAAGTCCAGGGCTACTGCCATCTAGATGACCAATGCGGCCAGGGAGATGTGTGAGGGGCCGCAGGTGGAGGACGAGGAGACGCACGCACTGGGGGGCGACTTCACGGAGGCGAGGAGGGGGCATTTGGAGAAGATCGCAGCAGACGGCAATAGGATCGCAAAAGGTGATCCCGAACAAGGACACGACGTCCAAGATCCCGACGGGGAAGTGGGTCGACACCTACCAGGCGGACGGCAGCAATAAGAGTCGGTGGACCACGAGGGGCTTCGAGCAGCAGGTGCACGGGCGCGACAACTTCGCGGCCACGACCCCTTCACTTCCGCACCTGAAGGCGATGATGGTCAACGCGGAGTTGCGCGACCATGCGGTGGCGCGCGGCGACGGCAGCGGGGCGTTCACCAGGCGCCGCCCGCCGAGGACCGCGTCTTCCTGGAGCCGCCACCAGAAGCAGGAGTACTTGAAGGACATGTTTGGGAGGCGCTGTGCGTATTGCCAGGACTCAAAGGGGCGCCGAAGGCTGGGGGGGTCACAGTGCGGACTCCGTGGAGGAGCTTGGGATGGTCAGGGGTCACTACGACTGGCGTCTTTGCATGAGGATGAGCAACAGGACGAAGGCAGGGGGACGCGCCGACGACTTCCTAAGCACTGGGCCGAGCGCCGAAGTCGACAAGCTGTTGGAGGTGATGGGGAAGAGAGACTGAAGTTATCGGGCGCGGCGAAGCCCACCAATAATGGAGACCAGGCGACGTCCCTGAGCATGCGGGTGGAGAAGGTCGAGGGCGGATACGCGATCAGCGGCAAGACGAGCTTGGTCGACGACGCCCTGATGGAGCTGGGCCTGGAAGCGGCGAAGCCATCAACACTGCCCGAGACCAAGAACGAGGCGCACGTGAAGAGCGACGAGGTGAAGCTAGAGACGGTGGGCCACAGTCGCTACAGGACTTGCGCGGGGAAGCTGCGGCAGTTGGCGGGCCTCCTTCCTGACATTCAACATGGGGTCGGAGTTCTAAGCAGGGGCATGTCAGGACGAACGGAGAAGGACCTGAGGAGGCTGAAGAGGATGGCGTGGTACCGTGCAGGCGCGCGAGACTACATGATGCAGTTGATTCCGAACAAAAGGAGGCACCGCAGTGAAGCGCGGGCGGACGCAGACTGGGCCGGCGACGAGACGGACAGGATCTCGACGAGTGGCGGCATCCCGAAGCACCGCTCACGCACCGTCCTGTCATGGTCGAGACGCCAGGGCTGCGCGGCACTGTGTTCGGCAGAGAGTGAACTATACGCGCTGGGTTCGGGAGCAGCGGGAGCTCTCGGACTGTCATCGCTACTCGTGGAGGGAGTGGCAGGAGAAGACGATGCCGCTCGCGATGAGCGACAGCAGCAGTGCGCTACACATCGCGAAGAAGCGCGGGCCAGGAAAGATGAAGCACGCGGAGATCCGCTTCCTGGCGCTGCAGCAGTGGCGCGAACAAGGCCGATTGCATGTCGGCAAGGTCTGCGCTCACGAGAACCCGAGCGATGCGATGACCAAGCCGATGACCAGGGAGACGCTGGAGAAGTTCACCAAAATGGTCGGCTTGGCACGCTCGTAGAGAGATGAGGCTTGAGCCCAGGCGGGCGAGAAAGGAGCGAGCGAGGAGGTCACCTGCCATCGTAGTAGAGCGTAGGAAGATGAATCCTCGAGGGGAGAAGGGCCTCAGTGGCCTAGCTACCCCCAGTCCATTTTAGAAGCTGGTTTAGATAGCGTTTCCCTCCGAGGTCTGGCTCCCGAGTGGACCTGGCGACCTCGAGGGCTTGTTGAGGGAAACCGTGAATAGAGCGGGTTAAAACAGGTTTCAGCCAGAGCCTGATACGCTACCTTTCCGCAGCCTCTTTGGCGCAAAAGTTAACAGGATGCTCCAAATGTGGAGGCAGAGTGCATGTTGTAGTTTTTGTGACGGGGATGGCGGGGGCGTGTGATCATGGGGTCGGAATTGTTCCGGGTTGGCTGCCAGCCGGGTGGGGGAGGGAGTGTATATTTATCAGAGTGAGGGGGCCGCACGGTCATTCATTGTCCCTGGGTGCGCGGCTACAGTGTGGGCCCGCGGTGAGGATTATTTATGCTTATTGCGTTGTTGTTGTTGTTGTTGCTGTTGCTG